AATTATTGCATTGTTTTGTAGATTCGCCGGTATGCTTTGGAAGGTTTCATGACAGAAAACAGAGAGGCAGGGATTGTTTTTGGTTCTCTGCCTATATACAGGGTAAGTCAGAAGTTTCTATAAGTAGGGTGGTAACAGGGCAATACGAAGTGTGACTTTTCATTGCTGACATAATCAGCCCAATGATGCTTCTATAAATGTACTGGGTCCCATCCTAGGCAAGTCTTGAGTTATGTATGTCAGTATCTTGAAATGCTCATCTCTGCCATTGCGCATAAGAGTGACTTTGAGCTTTGACCAAGTGGTTTATACCTCCAGGATAAAATCCAAATGCCATAGAGTAGCATACAAACCTTCTACAATCTGGCTCTGCCAGACTTTTGGACCCTGTTTTCTACCACATTCTCCCTGTACTGTCGCTATATTCCAGCAGGCTTGAGTATCACTAGATACTCCATCATGGTGCCTACGCTACTATCTGCTCAATAGTCATCAGATCCATGTTCAAGTCTCCACCCCCAGATAACCAGTGTTAAGTAACTAATGAACAAAACCAAGAAATAATAAACCAAATATGTCACTTAATGTCAACACAGAGCTTCAACATTACTTATCTTTATCAGGACTTGTTTATTGTAGTAGATAACAAAGAACAATGATGCTGACAGTGGTCAAGAATTAACTGGGGAGGATGGTTCAGTCATTAAGTATAAGTATAAGGACTTCAGTTTGGATCCCCAGCACCCATGGAAAAAAACTGAACACAGTAGGGTGCATGTGTAATCCCTGCAGGGGAGCAGGATGGACAGGAGCAGAAACAGAAGATCCCTGGGGTTCTTGACCACCTAGTCCAGTTTAATTAGTGAGGTTGAGGATCAGTGAGAGACTAGACCTCGAAAAAATAAAGGGGTGGGGCTGAGAAGTCAAGGCAGCTCACCTGTAATCCCAGTGCTTGGGAGGCAGAGGCCCCAGGGCATCTGCTAGGCAAGCTGGCTAGCTTGACCAGCCTGAACTGGCAAGCTCCAGTTACCCTGCATCAGTAAATAAAACAGAGAGTGATCAGGAAGACAACTAATATCAGTCTTTGGCCCCCATAAGCATGAGTGCACACATATATCTGAACACTTACACACACACACACACTGAATTAACAATAAGGTAATATACACCTATATTCCCAGCACTAGGAAGGAAGAGGCAGAAGGGTATAGAGTTCAAGGCCAGCAAGGGGCTGGAAAAAATGACTCAGTGTGGTTAAGAATACTCGCTGTTCTTCCAGAGACCTGGGTTCAATTCCCAGCATCTACATGGCAGCTCACAACTTCCAATAACTCCAGTTCCAGGGGATCCAACACTCTCTTCTATTGACTGAAGACACCAAGAACATGCATGGTACACAGACATACCTGCAGGAAGATCATCCAAACACAATTTTTTTTTAATTTAAAAAATAAAATAAGGCAAACCAAATTTACACAGGGAAAAAGACAGAACAATGGATGTCTGAAAGGGAGCATGTACTTGAAGCAGATGGCCCTCTCCTGTGACACCCCCTCCTCGGGTTTACATTCCCAGAAGTGAACACTATAAATATGCTTAACTCAGTCTGTGGTTTACAGGTTCCGAGTCCCACGAGCCTAAGGTTCCTTCCACTCATTGGCTCTGAAGCGCAGAGAGATTCAGTAGAGGGTGTTCATGGGAGGAAGAAGGGCACTCATGTTCAACACGATAAAGTAAGTTATGTGCACCCCTCAGAGCACTCTAGTTCCATACACCCACACACACACATACGTATTTTGTTTTTAATTGTTTCTCTGTCCCCCCTCCTCCCCCCCGCCCAAAAAATTCTGAGCCTACAATTATTTCAGTGTGTATTTTCATGGATATTCCAGATGTGTATGAGTTTAGCTCAGTGAGATTAAAGTCATGTGTTTGTTGGGTAGAAGTGAGAGGAAAATCAAATACAGCCTGTGGGTCTGAACAAATGAGGCTATCCTGGTGATCACCAAATAAGTTCTTTGAGTGGCTATAGAAGCCAAACAATTGGATACTACATGGCTGTGCAGTGTTACTGTCCTCACTATGGAGTCTTACTGCAGCTATGGTGGCTGTGGTAGCCCTGGTATCAGTGAGCTTACCAGCAGTGGTGGTCCCCATGCGTTAATAGGAAAAAAACGTGCAATTTTTCAAAATTAAATGTGTTCTTATAAAGGATTCTCTTAATTTTTTGCAATTGAGTTAAAAGAAAATGTTAGGTCTATCTTGCATTTGGGCTATCTTAGCATTAATGAAGTGCTAAGCCCTAGATCTTTCCCTTCAAATTTCATGATCAGAGCTGATTCCAATATCCCTAGAAGTGTCCATGGGCCTGACTTAACCTGCACTCACTCATCTGTCTCATCATCAGCATGGATCTAGCGTTAAGAGAAAGATGTAACCCAGTGTATGGCTTTTATTGTCCATTGCCAACTCAGTAACTGATTACGGACACAGTGCCAACAAGACTAACCACTTTTAAAAGCTATTTTATTATATCAAGATGAAAAATGTCTTCATAATTTAGTTAGATTTTGCACTGAATGGAAATGTGGTTGAGTCCCATTAATCAGCCATGCTGTCAATTATTTGAGAAAGAGCTATTGGCAATAGAGGCATTTTCTATAAAAATAATTTTTGCTTTTAGTTGTAAGGAATGGATGAAACAGCATGTTATAAGTAATCCAAAAGTAATAGGTTAAAAAAATTATCTGTGTTGGGTTTTACAATTCATATATTTAGTGTCCCATATTTTTATTCTTTACAATTGTATCTAATCTGATAGTAAATCCAAGCAAATACAAAGCTTAGAAAAGAAGATGTCCATATAGGTCTTAAGAACCCGCATAATGGAATTAAAACTTAGTCATGGCTAGAAGGGCATGGGTTGGTAACTCAGTGGTAGTTAACTATCATGCACAAGGCCCTGGGTTCAATCCCTAAGTGCCACAAAAATCAAACAAAGGGCCGGGTGTGGTAGCACACAACTTTAATCCCAGCACTCAGGCAGAGGCAGGCAGGATCTCTGTGAGTTTAAGGCCAGCCTGGTCTACAGAGTTACAGGGATGTCAGGGTTATGTAGTGAGCCCCTGTCTCAAAAGAGAGAGAGAGAGAGAGAGAGAGAGAGAGAGAGAGAGAGAGAGAGAGAGAGAGAGAGAGAATAGAAATGCCCAGTCACAGAGAAATGGTTCCACTGAAGACAGTATATATGCCAGCATGCTCCATTCTTACCATTTCATTTTAAGTGAAAAAACTGTACTCAGTTGCTAAAGTGCTTGCCCTTCGAGCATGGGAACCTGAGTTTGGATGCTGAGCACCCACATAATAATTTGGGTGCAATGGTGTATGTCTGTAATCTCAGTACTGGAGAGATGGAGACGAGATCGCTGGGACTACGGACCAGTCAGTGTAGCTAAGTTGCTAAATTCCAAGAGCAGTGAGAAAAAATAAGACAGTGAGTGAGTGATCGAGCAAGACACCTGATGCTGACCTCTAGCACACACACACACACACACACACACACACTTCAATCTGATGATACAATTGATAATTACAGCTAATTTTACCTTCAAATTAATGTGCCAAGTCTGAGGCTGTGCGCTTGGCATGCACTCTTGCATCTCTGCAATGGAGCATTATAATTAACACCCCCAATCTGCAGGTCCAGAAACTGAAGCATAGGGCATAAACAACTATCAAAGATTCCCAAAGAACCTGGTGACAGAGCTGGGATTTTAACCCAGAAGCTTGGCTTCAGAGCCTAACTGTTTAAATGTAATGCAGTATAACTTGGAAGCACAGGAGCTTCTGGGATCTCCTGGTGGGACTAAGCAACGACAGGCCCCTTGTGAGTTTTATTTTCCTCCCTACCCTCATCACCATCAGACTTCCTATCGTACAGTAATTCCGCTTTTCTACGATGGCACCTTGGTTTTCCTTGAACACTCACTTCTCTTCATTGTCTATTCTGCTGGATTGTAAATCCCAAGGGTATACATTTGTCAGACTCACACTGAGAAGGAGTGAGTCTGCTGAGTAGTGGGGCTTATTAGTAGAAGACGGCAGAGAGGAGGACACCTGAGGCATGGGGACACTCAGTCACTGGAGTGTGCAGGTCATAAAGGGACCTGAGCCTCCTAGCTTGTCTCAGGGAGAGAGGAGCAGAGACACAACCTGTTGGTACCCAGGCCTACAGGACCCTTGAAGAAGAGGCTGGGCCTCGGAGCTTTCTGTCTCTTTCCCACCTTGTATGTCTCCTCTTCTCTTTTTGTGTTACAAAATTTTGTAACCAAATCCCAGAAATATCTCAGAAACATATGGTGTTCATCTAGTGTCTCTTATAAGTGATGATCAAATGTTGCTGACAAAAATGTGTCTAACTGTGTATCTGTCTATCTATGGGTTATCATTTTTTTACTTGTGTGGATATGCACATGCATGTCATGGCATATGTGCAGAGGTCAGAGGAGAGCCTGCAGGAGTCAGTTCCCACCTTCCACAGTGAGATCAGGGGACAGAACTCACGTTGTCAGGTCTGTGCAGAAAGTGCTGTCCGTAGCTGGGCCATCTCACTGTCCCAAGGTGTGCTTTTGGGATCTTGTCATGTAGCCCTGGCTAGCCTAGGATTTGTTATGTTCCAGGCTGGACTCACACTTGTGGTAGATCCTCCTGTCAACCCTTTCCAGCCAGGGTACATGGGTCCTAGAATGGAGAAGCACCCTATTAAGTAGCTGCGAAGCTCTTCCAGGACCCTTTTGGGGGGTCTTACCTCCTCCCTTCAACATTCTTCTGCCTGGAGATGCACAGGATTGTTGAAATCACTTCACTGCTTGTCTAAGAGGATGAAAACTCTTTAATGGTTCAAGTGGGGAAACCTGTCTTTAATGCTTTTATTTCCCTAATCAATGTCTCCTTTGTTCCACAGTCACGGAGGAAAAGCCTGAAAAGAAATCTAGTCCCACAAATAAATCTGGCTTCATCCTTCTTCCCAGTCATGCCCAAGTGAAGAGGAGCCTGAGAACTGGCTGTTGTACAGGAGGCCCGAAGTCAGGACAACATCCCCATCTGTATTTCCAGATGAGGCACCACCGGATGGTTACACATCCTTCTACCTCAGGCAATCCTGGTAATGAAGATTCCTCAATGGAGTTCTGGTGACCTCAGCCCTGACAACAAGAAAACAACAGCCTGCAGCCAGTTTGCCAACTTCCTTTACACATGGAGAAACACATAACAGATGGGCCGTCTCTCTTGTCATGGTCAACAACATGGCACAAAGAAACAAATGAAATCAGTAGCATAAATAGACCTGAGTGATATGGTTAGTGATGGTTAGTTCTTCATTTCCACCTGTTGTTCACCCTAATCCGTAGCCAGAATTATAACGTGTGCAGTAAGAGGAAAATTGTGTGTGTCGTGCTGTGTGTACACAGAGAGGATTATCAGCATTGTTTCTTTGTCTAGTTGAAGTTGAACCTAGGGGCCTGACGTGCGAGGCAAGTCAGCTCCATCCACAGCCATTTTCAGATAATGTCTCATTAGGTTGATCTGGGAGGCCTTTAATTTAAGGTTACTCTGCTTCATCCTCCAGATCTTCCAGGAAAATTGTTATTTAAAAAAAAAGAAAAGAAAAGAAAAACATCCCTAGCTGGCCCTTACTGTTTGTCTGCTTCAACGAGGGGAGTGTCACCTGGGAGATGCCTAACTACAAAAGCTGATTGATTGAAGAGAACATCAGTGACACGGAGAGGCTGAAATGTTGCCAGTCCAGAGCCAAATTATCTTGGGGACATCTCTAGTCCCCTTAGTAGCCATTTATTGTCCCCCTCTATGCATGAATCAATCAATGTCTGTTGTGACCATTAGGTAAACCCTTTGGAATGTATCAACAAACTCCTGGTTTCTGCCAATCAAAGGGCCAAGAAAGCTGTCAGATAGCATTGAAGGCCTAAAGCCGAGTTTTCCCCAACATTGCTGTAACCTGCCTACCTGATGTACTGTCTTAGTTACTGTTCTAGTGCTGTGAAGAGAAACCATGACCAAAGCAACTCTTACAGAAGGAGGCATTTAACTGATGTCTAACTTACAGTTTCAGAGTGTGGCAGGAAGCAGA